ATAACTTGTCCAATTTTACACAGCATATTCCGAGTTTAACTCTTTCCCGATCAGTTTTTTTCTCAATGTTACTAGTTTAACGGTAACTCAAATTTTGCTACCCATGTTAACCCAACTGTACGACATGTATTCAAGTAGGCTTATACTCAGTTATATGGTAAAGGTTTATCCACTCCCGACTAAGTGGGTTTGATTGTTTCCTTGGAAACAGAATGCAATAAAATATATCGTGTTTGATCCGGCCGGACGAATTGACAAGAGTTAAACAATGATTCGAGCTAGAAAAGCCAATTTCTGATATTTTATTCCAGTTCCCTTAAACACACACACACACACACACACACACACACACACACACATATATATATATATATATATATATATATATATATATATATATATGATGTGTGTGTGTGTCTGTATTATAAGTTGTTATATACGGTCAAACAAGTACTCTCGACAAAGATGCATATTTGTTTCGATTCTTAAGCATCCTATCAAGTGAGGAACAAAGATGGATATTTTTTTTCTTTTTCCGTTTATGGAAATTTTTTTTTTTTTGTATTTCTTTCTTTTCCTTTTATGGTGTTTTTCCTTATGTCTTAAAAAAATTGAATAATGTAAAAAGAAAATGATATTTCATACGTAGCATTTTTAAATAAAATCCTTTATAAACATCTTTGTTCCTCACCTAATGAGACGCTTACTCATCGAAATAAATATAAATCTTTGTCGTGACTACTTGTTTGTTCGTATGTAACTACTTCTATACTCTTGGTATTGAGCCCTCTTTTAAATTAATGCTATGACCGTTTGAATTTATATTCTTTTCGTTCTCATTACATTTGTGCATGCATATATATATATATATATATATATATATATATATATATATATATATATAAATTAGTAGACTATATTTGATATGGATACTACGTCAACCTTTACAAGTTATATATTCCTATTTGAAATAAATACAATGTGTAAACACTTCATTCCCTATGTAAATGGGTTTTAAAGGATGAAATGGCTATTAAGGAGGTTTACACAGACTACGAGTAGAATATTAACTTCTTTTTTTACAATTCCCAATTAAATTTTTTTCAGTGATTTTTTTTTTTTTTTTTTTTTTTTTTTTAAATATTTTCACCTAGAATGCGTAGGAATCCATATCGGGACAGAAAAATAAATCCCTGTTTTTTTTTTTTTTTACATAATATTTATCAGCCGTTAATATTGATGTTAGTGACATATAACAACTGATATTGGCACAGTGCTTCATACTGTTGGACAACGCGTATTATAGCAATTCTTTTTCTTTTTTTTAATAAATGCAAGCGTAAAGGAGATTATATCTTCATTCATTATCTTAAATTTCATTACATATTTGTGCTATATCTTCTGTCTCATCGTAGCAGAATTTCCTTTGTAATAGCATTTATAATTCCTGGTGAAACGGATAAGTAAATTTAAAAAATATTGAAATTTTCCGATAAGCTTTAACGAGGAACTATATATATAAATGCCAATCGAACCGTAATATGGAAAGATGTAACATTTTAATGAAAGTTTTATTTAGTTTCGATAAATATCGTTTTTGAAAATTCTTGAGATAAATGGGATGGGGACATATTTTTCCTTTTCAAAACCAGCAGATAATTTAAGCTATTGATATTTTGAATAGCCTCAATATTTATTTTCGTATCAACAAATAATGTTGAAAGTGAAATCGGCATGAGGATTTCTACTTTTTTCCAAGTATATTTCACTCACTCACAAAATAATATCCTTGAGAAATGTAGGAAATTCATTTTTAATTGATTTTCCCATAAATAATTAAACAGTAAGGTAGACCGTGCTTTCCGGTCTTGGAAATTAAAAAAACCTTGGAGAAGACAACGGAAAATCAGTTCACACATATTAAAGGAAGCTATGGAGAGAAAGGATTGCCTACGTCTTGAATGTACATAACATTAAAAATCTATGAAACTACAAATGACTGTGATCGTTACAAGGAAATAATAGCATTTTGATAAAACTAGAAAGAGTAAACATGTTGGGTGACGTTGATAAACGTGGAAAATAAGACATGTTGTGTTTTTCGCACTAGCATTCTCGGTCTGGTTGTTATAGTTATTGTTTCGGGGTCCTGGGCATGACGATAAACTACATCCGGCAACAAGGTCTCTGGTCGGGAAATTAGACGTTTTGAGGAGCCTAGAACCACATCTAAATTTGCCATTGTAAATTTATCCAGCATTGTAAAGTACAGGATTTCGAGAAAGCAGTTGAGCAACATGCTCCATAAGTTTTCTATGTGGTTGAGGTCAGGAGATTGGGGCGCCCATGTCATAACACTCACCTGCTTCTCATCAAAGTATTCCTTCATCAATTTTGATTTGTGATAGGGAGCATTATCCTGCATAAAAATGAGCTTGGTGGGGTAGATTTGCACCCTTTCAGCAGAAGGGAGCAGACAAGACTCTAAAATTCTCTTGTACTGCTCGCTCCTGAGGGGCTTTTCAATAGGTTTTAAGAAACCAGTTCAATGAAAAGAAAAGCATCCCCAGAACATTACACTGAACGGATGCTTGACAATACTTACTGCTAAATTCAAAGAGCTTTCAAAGCTTCTTCTTCGAATTTTAGATCGCTTATCCTTTAAATTTAACTCAACTTTCGTTTCATCGGAGAAGAGAACATTTAATAAAAAAATCAGGTGAGTCACTTTTATCGAACAGCACTGTAGTTACTTGAACTTACAATTAAATTTTTATTCATGTGGTGGTTGAGGTCATTCTAGTCTTATTGATATGTACTATGGTGAGACAGTATTTAATTATTCAGCTATATTTGAAATCTGTGTAGGTCTTTGAATTTTATCTATACAGATATATGTATCTGTGTTAACTTGCAAAATATATGAACGCTTTGTGCCTTAACCCTTCGAGCCCTGATCACCGCTTTACCGGTGGTAGAGAAGAATGACATAATGCCCAGCCACCGGTTAATCGGGGGGTAAACACTTGCGGCGTTTTTTATTATTGGTTGTCTTAATTTGAAGAGCCAATCAGAAAAGCCGTAATATTCTGATGTCATCGAACGTTATATCAACATGTCGGCGCCTTTTTATAGTGTTTTCTGTATGTGTTTTGGATAAAATAAAAGATCGTTTCTACCATGAAGCTTGCAGAGACTCAACCTGGATGGTCAGGAAAGCAATCAGGGACTATTTTTTATATCTACCGTGAAACATTACTTAACAATTATTTGCGAATTTTGACTCAGGAGCTCAGACAGAAGGGTTAAAATTGTTCAAGAAAGCAGGACTGAAAAGGTTAAATTACACATATCACCAGAGATTTATATTAGTAGCAGCGAAAGAACAAATATCAAATATTCTTAAATGCTGTGAGCATGAAAATAAGATAATGTTCCATTATTGCATAAATGTCAATAGGTTCATATTATTAAGAAAACCGAAAGTAACCTACTTTTAATGAATGCATAGTAACATGACTGGAACTTTGCTGACTGAATTAATGATATTAACATAAATCACACATTAGAAATATATTTTAAAAAATAAATTAATCCATAGAAGGTTGGCCGTGTGTGAATAAAATTAACACGTATGAAAGTTCTAAACAATAAAAGGGCTCTTGTGTATCGAAAGATGTTATCATATAAATCAGTATAGAACGCCTTTGCCGTTGTGGTCTTGAATTGATTAGACCAGCGTTTCTCGAACTTTTTACCCTTGTAGAACAATTAAAATTGTCTTCATATCTCGGGGAACAGATGCATAAAGAAAAAATTATATACCGTTATTAATATCTATCTCTTTTATATTTTATCCTAGTTCACGTAATAAGCATAATCTATGGACGCCGTGCATGTGTCCTGTACCCGAGTGAGTTACAGAATGATACACGAATCTGCCACACACAGGTCCTGTCCACTAACCAGTGAAACCGGTTCCATACTGACGCCATAAGTTCACGCCTTATGATTACTATAATTTGAAATAATATAAGAGATTGAAGCTTCTATTATAACCAATGATTTTCCAAGAATATACCTTACTTGTATAGTAAAACAAAGATTATTAAAATCAAATAAAAATTACACAAAATGCATTAGCCTATTCATCAATGTTTCTCACAAGCGGTCTCAAGGTTTCTGGGAATCATCGGATTAGACATTTATTTCTGAAGAAATCGGATCCAGCTCATGAACATCATATATATATATATATATATATATATATATATATATATATATATATATATATGAGAGAGAAAGTGTGGGGCATTTGCTTTTTAAAAATGGACAATAGTCTTGCATACATTGACGTTTTCGTGACCGATTGAAATAAGTTATATCGTCTGTTTATTTGATATTGGTCATGGATCTACTGTACCCGGAATTTAAGGAAATGTAGCAGCTAAAGTGATCATGTAAAACGAAACATTTTATTACATAATCTGTGTAGTCCACGTTAGTAGTTAGAATTAATATTATGATCTTAATTGGCATTTAAATGCTGTATTTTAACTTCGTATGTGGCACGTACTATTATTATTATTTGAAATATTTGCTCTATCAGTTACTGCAGAAGAAAAATCAAAAACTCATTCCTAGATTCTTTCGTAATACAATGAAATTATCTTTGACAATTTGGTAACCGTATTTTCAATCCATGTTTAGAAAACGTGGAATGTAATCATTTTGTTTCTTGTTAATTACTATAGCAAAGAAAGAAGTAAAGTGATTGCTTATTAAAAGATGTATGAAATTCAAAATTGGTCAGAAAATTGGTCGAATCGTTTCTAACCAATTCAAAGTTACATTTCAATTTTCCATCATTTTAGTGACACTTTCTCTCAATATAACCACCTCACTCTATCTCTCCGTGTCTATCTCTCTCTTTGCCTCTTTATATCTCCATCTGTCTCTCTCTCTATATATATGTATATCACTCTATCTATCTGTTTCCTATGTCTTTGTGTCTGTCTATCTCTCTGTATATCTCTGTGTCTATCTTTTTGTCATTCTCTATATCTCTTTTTATCTGTCTATCTCTCCATCTCTGTCTGTCTCTCTCCCTCTATCTATCTATCTATCTATCTATCTATCTATCTATCTATCTATCTATCTATATATATCATTTACCTCCCTATCTGTCTATGTGTCTGTCTTTCTTTCTCTCTCTCTCTCTCTCTCTCTATATATATATATATATATATATATATATATCTGTCTCTATCTTTTTGCCTCTCTATCTATCTGTCTACCGATCTGTCTCTGTGTCTGTCTCTCTCTCTCTCTCTCTCTCTCTCTATATATATATATATATATATATATATATATATATATATATATATATATATATATAATTTTTTTAAAAAAAATTATAACATAAGTATGTTATAAAATCACTACAAAAATAGCCATTTTGTTTCAACACACTCTGCTCTACTTTGTATTGAGCACTCTTTTAAGGATAGTAATTGTTGGTTATTGGAATTCATTCCGTATATACCAATTATATACTTTGATATATATATATAATATATATATATATATATGTGTGTGTGTGTGTGTGTCTGTCTATCTTTCTGTCTCTCTCTATACGTATGTATGCCTCTGTGTCTATCTTTCTATCGCTCTCTCTTTGTCTCATATATATATATATATATATATATATATATATATATATATATATATAAAACCATCTGTCTGTCAGTCTCTCAACCTATTCATATCTAACATTCTACGTCATAATCACACTGCGCGTACCCCATTGCCAAATCCCAACAATAGTCGTCGAAGCAGGAAAAGAATTGTTAAAATTAACGAGGCTTCTTGTGTGTCTCGTTGAAACTGGAACGATGACATGTCTAACTGAACAGGTTGAACATGTAGATATTAGACGTGGCAGATGTAAGCGCTGTATTGGTGATGGCTTTTGGTGGTGGTGGTGGTGGTGGTGGTGTTGGAGCAAGAAGGCGCATCGGAGCTGACTGACATTGGACAATACAACACCTGACCCTTATATGAAACAAAAAACAACATTAAGCAATAACAATAGGAATGCTGCGGCAGGTCAGAAGACAAAAGATTACAGAAACAGACAGTGACACAGGTGGAACACAAAACTAGACGTATTTTCCAGCACCCCTCTCTACTCTTTCTATTTGAATCCTCTCTAAACTAGGTTAAAAATATTAGAAAGGAAGTTATAAGGTGGGTGGGGCGTAGTGATGCTGGTGGGGGGTAGTAGTACCAGCGATAGTATGAATACTTTTAATGTTCTGAAGGGTTATAATTTTTGTTCAGCATAATCAAGAATCAACCGGACATGGCGGTAGCCTATTGAAGAAAGAGAAATTGACAGTCCTATTTCAATTTCCGGCTTGTTGCGTTCACTTTCGTACTAATTGCTTTGTGAAAGGTAGGAATCCATTTATTTTCCCACTATGGGTTAAATAATAGGGTAGATTTTTATCTCCAGCCTTGGCTGTCAGTTTTGAAGGACAACACTGAATTCAAAATTGTTTGAGAAGTAAGAAACCACATCACTATCTTTACAAAGATGTCATTATCTGTCTATATCTCTGAGATGAGGTAAAATGATTATTTACCTTATGGATCCTCAAGGACACATGGCTCAGTGAATAAAGACGTTGGTTAGACCCAGTGATTAGACACAAAGAGTTGTGAGTTCAGTACCAGACTACAGCAGTGGTGAACCAAAAAAAAAAAAAAAAAAAACTTCGAAAGTTTAGTTAAAGGGAAATAACTGTAACGCCCGAAAGTGGCTTGGCACGTGAAACTAGAAGAATTTACCCCCGTGGACGAAATAAAGGGCTCGTTTCGAAATTCCAATCACCTGAAGAAGGCCGGAGCGTACAACTGCTGAAACGTTGTGAATATGGCAATGAAGACGAGGATAACAGTTCGAATAATGCAAATAATGTAAATGTCATATCAGTTTACTAATAATAAAAGAAAAAGAATTTGCCGAGAGCTATGGTTCCTTACGCCTCGAAGAGAGATGACAGTTAAAAATAAGTCAATTCAGTTTTAGCATCCTGCCATCTTATCCCATTTTTTTTCCTTCTGTGACAACTGCACTCGGCCTATAACTGTACTATTTGAATGAATAAAAATGGTCGACGTTTATGAATTTTTTTTTTTTTTTTGCGTTATGTCCAAATGCTCCTGTATTTTTATGTTCAATATTTTAGACTAATTTTGTAATATTTTTTTCACGAACCGTTATTTTCCAGAACTTCTAAAGAGGAATACTTTTTTTTTTTTTTTTTTTTTTTTTAAGAGAACAGTGAATAAACAGTTCCTAACATGAAATGTTGTTCCTAAAAAGCTTTCTTCAAAGAAAAAAAGATATTATTTTTTTCTGGTGAAGTTTTTTATTTTATTTATTTTATTTTTTTAAGAAATGTGTAAAATATCCATCGACCACATGAAATGATGATTAACTTAATCAATTAAATAAGATAGAATTATCATTTTGTTTAAATTGTCCAATCATTTGGGGAGTACCTCGTAAAAATAAGATAATTAAATATCAGAATCCTGTAATGCTTTTGTAATTTCTTGAATAATTTATTACACTATATTTTCTTTTCTTCTTTCTAACTTGAAATATTGTACAATTGACTTAATTTCAGGCAGATTTCAATCATCATTTTTTCTTTTTCATCACTAATCAGCTCGCTTCACTCACCTCACTGATATATTACTGAGGATTATTCAATACCCGGGTTAGTCTGAATACCCGAGAAGGATTATCTTCAAAATGAGTGCCCATATCATATATACAAAAGTAATGTTCCAATTTAACCAGTAATCGTATTCTATGTATGAATTAATCAAGTCAAATGTATAGAATACAATAATGGATAACCACTCGTATCAGAGGATGCCCGTCTACATGAATGGTTAGACAATCCCTGTTGCAGGCGCCTGTTCAGGCATATTTGTGTTTGTACAAGACCAACGCCTGTGGTTTGTACTGCAACTATGTTGAGCGGACATTAGTTAAAGTATCTGGTTGAGAGCACTTTATGATTGATATAATTTTATTGATATTTGTACCCAACAAATCAAATATATTTAATTTTATAAAAACTAACATAGAACTCTTACATGACAACACGAAATGTGATAAGGACCAAAATACGATGTTTAAAAAGTAAATTGATGATATAAAAAAAACATAAATAATATACGTCTTTGAAAACGCCTTGTGACGTTAGCCAAAAGTACAGAGATATAGGACATTTTATGTTCCCATACCAAGATGAAGTTAGAAAAATTCGTAAATGTGTTGAAAGGATAAAAAAAAAAATGATCCAAGCAGAACTTCCCATAGTGTTTAATGAAACCTGCATAAATAAAAGACCTCTAAATGAATACAATGTACTACAATTAAATGTTTTATTGAATTTTTCTTGTGTTCGATCAAGTGTATTCTTTTTGAACACAGTGAGTAGAAACTGTCATACATACATACATGCATACACACACACACACACACACACATATATATATATATATATATATATATATATATATATATATATATATATATATATATATATATATATATATATATATATATATATATATATATATATATATATATATATATATATATATATATATATATATATAGGTATTTGTTTAGGTATAAAACAATCAAAACAAGCTATAAAAAATCCATTAACCGTTATATGCATATGTATATATAAAGTATTTATTTTGTCCTTCTATCAAAATAACCTATTTAAATCTATTAACTGTATATATATATATATATATATATATATATATATATATATGATGTATGTTCCATTAAAAATGATAGACAAGGTGCTTAAGCTTTTTATTTAATTTTTCTTGTATTCGAACAAGTGTTTTCTTTTCTAGACACCGAGTGTGTGGAAACTGTCCAAATGTCCTATAATTCCGAGCGCTTTCGGCTATACATTTAGACTTTATCAAGGATGATTTTATTTATTCAGTTTAATTGAGTTTGTGCGTTGGGTGTATGTTTTTAGTGTTATAGAGATGTTTTATTGCCCCAACACAGCACATTGTGGCCGTGTTCGTAGTTAGTATTATTAAGTGTTGGCATTTTCTTTTTTATTATTTAGGCTTCCATTATTTTTAATCTCTTTTTACATGTGAATGAGGTTATTATGTTTGTATTTTCTACTAGTCGGGTGGAGTCTGGTAAGTTTGTGTTTAAATGGGTTCTAATAGAGGTGTGGTCAGATAGGTATAACGTAAGGCATCTGAAGAGGCATGTAGTCGTGTATATATATATATATATATATATATATATATATATATATATATATAATATGGTATTATCAGAAGTTTCAAACTATATTGCTGATAATATTAAAGAGAAGTAAAATTTATTTCTCAAAGGTAATGATATCAGGAGTTTGTTGTCTTCTTAATTTTATGTTTGCGTTTATTTTCTTTGGTTAAACAGTAGAGTATTGAAGAGTTTTGCAGAAGAATGTTTTGGATAAATGGCAACAAACAGAAACGAAAGCAGACGACAAAAAATATTAACACAAAGCTTCCTTTTACATTCACAACGAGATTGACTTCCCGCCTGCAATCCTAAATTTTCAAACTAAAATATACATATATTGACAAGGAAGCGTATAGAATGCATATGGGGGACACTCGTAGATATACGTATACACACAGTGATGCTTCAACGTATTTCAACATTTGCAGGATATAGGCAAAAAGCCATATGACCGTGTACTTACGTATCTATCTCTTTGAATGCAATATTTTTTCGTTATGTTTCATCCGGTGAGAAACCGGCTTACTGGATCCTCAATTCATTGAATTCACCTCAGTGTCGGCGTTTTCATTTTCAAGAGCAAAAGATTCGAGGAAAATCTGTTAGACGTGAATTATTTGCGCTTGACTTGCTTCAGAAAATGCAGACGTTGAATACTAAGCTTTTATTAGATTATTAAGCGAATAAACGAGAAAACAGCAGATCAATAGTTATAATTCTGACCTTTGTAATGATAAAAAATGTGTGAAAAAACACTGAGAGAGATTAGCAGGGCAGCAAGTTTAATTCAGGATTTCTAGTATAGAAGAGCCAATAGATATGACAGAATATGCTTAATA